ATGCACGAGACAAATTGCATATTTTCCTGCGGTAACAAACACAATTAATGAAATATTGAGGACCCACCTTGCAAAACACGATACTTGACTTCCGTGACTTTCCGTCCATTTTCCCGTTTAAACTTTGAACTCAGAGAGAGAGAGAGAGAGAGAATTCAAAGCGGAGCCTTCAATCATCGCTTGTTTGCCCGGCCTTCATTGTAAGTATATATTTTTCGCTATGAGCAATCTTTTCTTCTTCTTCTTCTTCAGTTCAATTTATTTCAGAAAACGTAATTATACATAGTTTATTGTACTCTTTAATTACTCCGTATGTTATGTGTTGATATTAAGGCGATAAAACCTATGAATTAAATCTGGGGTTTTTTATCCTTAGTCCTAAAACTCATCATTTTCAATTGCTGAACCCTTCCTAATTTTCAACTCAAATTTGAAATTTTTTTGTTGGTATTTCGAATTGTCTATTTGTTTTGTTCTGATTACGTTATATACATTGAATGTTTTGAAAAACAAATTGTAGTTTTGGGTGGAAGATGTTGTCAAAACGTGAATCTAGGAAGAAGATTGGTGAAAATTCTGGAGCTGGGAAGTTATTAGATGACATTGAATCTATCAGTAAAGCTTTATACCTGGACAAAGCCCAGCCCAGATTGTTAATGTCTACTGTGAGCAGCCGGTCCAAGTCTGTTGGAAAACCCGATTTACCCGAACCAAAATCCAAAAGTAAGGAAGTGAACAAGGATTTGTTGGAGAAGGATAGTAAGAAGTCTATTTGGAGCTGGAAAGGGATTAAGGCGTTGGCGAATGTTAGAAACAGAACTTTCAATTGTTGCTTCTCCCTCCATGTCCACTCTGTTGAAGGCTTACCGGTGTTGTTTGATAGCTCTAGCCTGGTTGTGCATTGGAAGAGACGGGACGGGGAGATGATGACTCACCCAGTTAGGGTTCTTCAAGGGGTAGCTGAGTTTGAAGAACGGTTGACATATTCATGCTCTGTTCATGGGAGCAGAAACGGGCCCCATCATTCTGCAAAGTACGATGCGAAGCATTTCTTGCTGTATGTTTCTGTTTATGGTGCTCCTGAAATGGACTTGGGGAAGCACCGGGTGGATCTTGCCAGGTTGCTTCCACTTACATTGGAGGAACTCGAAGACGAGAAGAGTTCTGGGAAATGGACTACTAGTTACAGGTTATCAGGGAAGGCTAAGGGCGCAACTTTAAATGTCAGTTTTGGGTATTATGTACTTCATGGGAACGATTCTACCAGCAAGGATGTTTGTGAGAAGCAGGCCACAGAAAGGCGTCCAAGGAGCATTCCTGCAATTTCTGGTTCTTCAAGTTGGCCCACAGAAGACATAAAGGATCTTCATGAGGTTTGTGTGTCAAAATCAGATCTTTCTAAGTCGGTGAACGTTCTCTATAGGAAACTTGATGAAGAGAAGATAGATGCCTCAGCTAATGGGAAACAAGAGAATGGTTTTACCCCTAATGATGATATGGAGAGTTTGAAACCGGATTCAAAAGGAAATTCTGAAAATGAATGTGAAACTGGTGAGTTTTTTGTTATGGACCAAGGTTTAGAAATTTCCTTGAAGGAACAGGAGAAACCAGAAATTCTAGCCATTGATTCTGTAGAAGGCTGTGTTGAGTCTGACGATGTTCTTGAGATTCCTGCTGAACTTCTGGAAAGTGATTTGGGATTGGAAGTTCAGATGAAATGCACTAAAAAATCAATAATGGAGGAATTGGACTCTGCATTGGCAATCGTCTCCAAGTTGGAAAATGAAGGATCTCATTCTCAAGACGACAATGAAATATCAAATCTAGATAATTACTTGGGCATTATTCAAGAAAATGGTGATAAACTGCTTAAGAAAGGGAAATCCCACAGCTTAGATGATATGACAGAATCTGTGGCTACTGAATTTCTTGATATGCTTGGCATAGAACATGGTCCGTTTGGATTCAGTTCAGAAAGTGAGCCGGAATCCCCCAGAGAGCGCCTGTTGAGGCAATTCGAGAAGGAGGCTCTTGATACAGGTTGTTCCTTGTTCAACTGTGGTGAAATAGATACCGGGAACACTTCTGGGGACTTTGGTTTCTTCTCAGCCACTAATTCTTATATGGAGGTTTTGCCTAAGATAGAAACAAATGAAACAAGAAACAGAACAAATGCCTCTATGTTGGAGGACTTGGAGACCGAAGTTCTGATGCACGAATGGGGTCTGAATGAAAGAGCTTTTCATCATTCCCCTCCTAAAAGCTCCAGCGGGTTTGGCAGTCCGATTGATGTGGAAGCACCAGAGGACCTTAATGGATTGCCAGCTCTGGGAGAGGGATTAGGCCCCTTTCTTCATACCAAAGACGGAGGCTTTCTGCGCTCAATGAATCCTGCTCTTTTTAAAAAGGCAAAAAGTGGAGGGAAACTCAGCATGCAGGTGTCTAAGCCAGTGGTGGTTCCAGCGGAAATGGGGTCTGGTGTCATGGACATATTACAGCATTTGGCTGCCATTGGTATTGAGAAACTATCAATGCAGGCTAATAAGTTGATGCCGTTGGAAGATATAACAGGGAAGACAGTGCAACAAATTGCTTGGGAAGCAGCTTCCACCTTGGAAGGATCTGAAAGGTCTGTATTTCTATTTATTAAAAAACAAAATCTTATATTCAACGGTCTAGTAATCGTGAAAACAGAGCATTTTGAAAAAAAAGGTAGCAGTTCTTATCCAAAAAGTATTATTCCAACCATCTCAAAAATTAAAAGATTCATGATCCAAACATTATTTGTGTCTTAAAAAAAGTCCTATATTAACAACTGAAGTTAATTTTCATTGTATTATTGTTGTTTTTTCCAAAAATGTTCCAAACAAGTTAAACATGCTTATATTTAGTTTAGCAAACTAACATATTTTGAAATACATACTCCGTATTAAAAATGGATGATTTACGAGTTATACCTTCCCAAAATTAAAGTGTATCTTGATGAAACAGGCTCCTTTGTTTTCGGACGAAGGCAGTACTCCTGAGGTCAAAAGTACTCCGTAATACATTTCACCATGAGACTTTCTTTCACTAGTTTTTCCATTTTTTTTCCCTTTCACATTATTAGTATTTTTTTAAAGGCTGGTACCATTTTATTCTAAATGACATCCATTTTATAATTCTGCACATTTCAGGCTCAGTGAATGTGAGGTTAGACAGAACATGTCGAGTTTTCCGGATGCAATTAGAGGGAATCTGCACGAGTATGAGCCAAACACCATTGGCAACAAAGTGGATACAGAGTACCTTTCCCTAGAAGACGTTGCTCCTTTAGCCACAGATAAGATTGAGTCCCTTCTAATTGAGGGGTTGAGAATACAGTCTGACATGTCAAACGAGGATGCCCCTTCAAACTTAACCCCACAGCCAGCTTTTGAGGGTATGGTCAGTTTAGGTGGGCCCACGGGTCTAGAAGGAGCGGGCGGGTTACACCTTCTTGACATGAAAAATGCATGTGAGGATGGCAATGACAATGACGTGGACGGGCTAATGGGGTTGTCTCTATCGCTAGATGAATGGATGAGATTAGACTCTGGAGAGGTCTATGATGATGATGAAATCAGTGAGCGTACCTCGAAGCTGCTTGCTGCTCACCATGCTAATTCCATGGACCTGATACGCGGAGGATCAAAAGGACGCGGCAAGGGCAGGAAGAAGTCTTTTGGTCTGTTGAGCAATAACTTCACGGTGGCTTTGATGGTTCAGCTTCGTGATCCTTTGAGAGATTACGAGCCGGTCGGAAGGCCTATGCTCGCCCTGGTTCAGGTGGAGAGAGAATTCCTGCCACCTAAGCCTAGAATCTACTGCTCAGTTTCTGAACTTAGAAGCAACAATGGAGATGGAGATGATGGAGAAAAACTGGAAGGAGAAGAAGAGTGTGGAAGTGTGAAAAAAGAGGAAACTGTTGCAACTGAACAGGAGGAACAAAACATTCCACAGTACAAAATAACAGAAGTGCACGTCGCGGGTTTGAACAGCGAGGAATGTAATAATAATAATAATAATAATAATAATAAGACGACGACGAAGAAGAAGCTGTGGGGGACCACGACTCAGCAACAGTCTGGGTCCCGCTGGTTGCTCGCCAATGGGATGGGAAAGAAGAACAAGCACCCACTTATGAAGACAAAAGCTGGTGGTGGTGGTAGTAGAGCAGCGGCATTGCCGCCAGCATCAACCACAGTGCAGCCAGGGGAAACTCTGTGGAGTGTGTCGTCTCGCGTCTATGGGAGTGGGAGTAAATGGAAGGAGATTGCTGCGTTGAATCCTCACATTCGGAACCCCAATGTCATCTTCCCGGGCGAAACTGTCAGGTTGATGTAAAGCACTGGTTGAAGGTGTAGTGAGACTGAGACATGTCCAGAAGAATGAAAAGAAGTGTATGTAAGAAGAAGCCGGGGAAGAAGATGAACTGATGATGATATATATTTCTTTATTTCTTTCTTTTCTTTCTTAGTTTCAGGGAACAATTTGTGGCCATTAATCTGTTGGCTTTACAAATGCATTTTGCATGTGAGTATGTGCTTTTTTTTCCTTTTTTTATGTTTTTTTGAAAAAAAAAATCATCATTGCAAGAATGTGAGGATCCAAACATATACAATTATATTTTCAAATTAATTTATTGGTTTAATTAAATTTAACATATTAACATGTTTGTTATATATGAAGTACTTTTTTTTATTTAAAAACATTTTATGTGATGAACATCAACAGTTTTTTTTCTTTTCCAAATTTGACTCTTTTCATGGGATGAAAATATATTTATGAGAGGACTCCTTTAATGTGATGAATGGAGCATAAAGTTCTAGAATAAAGTAAATTAATCTGCAATTTATTACACCTTCCATTCCAAAAAAAACGTACAGAGTATCCATTTTGAGGGAGCACACATTTTAATTAAAAATATATTATTGAAAGGCTAGACTTAAAAAAAGCACATTTTTTGGGGCTAGAAGAGATTAATGACTCTGTATTTACTTTATTTAAATGACCTTAAATGTTTTGTATTAATAAGCTTGAAAATATATGGAGTAACTTATAAATAGCCAAATGAAAAAAAACAATGCGGGGGGAAGAAAGGAAACCATAGTGATTAGTGATTGCATTGTGAGATAACATTAATCAATCGCCGTGACAAACGGTCCTTACAAGACTAAAACAAACTATGTCCAACTTTTGAAACAACAACAACTACTACGTAGTAAATAAATTATCCTGAAAAACAGAAAACAAAAAACAAAGACCAGACAGAACATCAATACAGATGATGCCTTATCTGATGTGGCGGCGTCGACCATGGAGATTTCTAGCAGAGGCTCGGCAGCACCAGACAAATGCAACAAAGTTAAAACCCAGGGCGTGGAGGTGGAGCAAAGAACATCATCATCATCCATCATGATGACATCATCACGTGTCATCATCAAGGCCGTGCCCTCTTGTTACTGCACGATGGGCATTTGTACTGTTTTATGTGTTCAGCCCTGGCGGGCGTGATTTTCACACACTTCCCATGGAACCATTTCTCGCATATGTCGCAGAAAATCCAAAAGTCGTCTGCCCCAGAGTTCTCCCCGCAGGCCCCACACAAGGTGTCGCCATGCTCATCCTCTTCCTCGTCATCTTCTTCCTCTTCAAATCCATCTTCCTCCTCCTTTGCTTGGACCTTTGAGTACTTGCCCTGCTGAGTTTCCAAATGGACACTACTACATTAATACCAAATGCAATGACATGGAAAATCTATCACTCTACAAAATGAGCCGTTTTCATAAGCGAAAGTTTTTAGCCTAAAAAATTTAGTTTATGAAATGAAAAGTGAGGGCATGTTTGGTACTCTTTGAATAAAAAAGTGTAGAGTTGTGCTCTAGAAAAAAAGTTGGTTTGGTAATTTATGAATAGAAATTTGCTTTGAATGCAGAGATGTTTGGTACTGAGTGTGAGTGTTTTTCAGCTAAATAACTAACAGTTTTGTCAAAACTAGATGTGGTTGGAAATCAACTTTTGATTGCGTTGGTGTTTGAGTTATTTTTATACCACTAGCTTTCAAGTTCAACCAAAATTTTTACCAAACCAACTTTGGAGCAAAAATTGTTGCAGCTTAAAAGTCACAGCAATATTAAACCTGTTGTCAGTTCTGTTTTGGTAAGGGAAGGCACCTTAGAGTTTGACTTTGATTTGCTGCTGCTATTGTTGTTGGTGACTGATGATTTGTCTTTGACTTGCTTTTTGGCAGCTCCAGTTACAACTTCAAACAGCGTGGGGAGTTCATTTATCATACTGAACAGCCTTTTCCTGCATTAATAGGAAAACCCCACTTAGAACTAAACTACCTTCTTGTAACCACACGCCGTTCATCAAACAAAAGTAAAAAATAACTATACTAAAGGAAAGTTCACACATTACTACATCGAATATGAATAAAAAATGAAAAGTGAAGATGTGTGTGTACCTGTCAGTTTTGTCAAAACCAAATCTTGCTCCAAAGTAGAAAGCAACAGAAAGTAGCCAAGCATCACTGTGAACAGCAACAAGAGAAACCCAGTCTTTTTCCTGCATACCATCTCTGGCAAAGTTAATGCCTAATGCCGGCTCTGGAAGTTCCGGAGGCACCTCCTCTGCAGGCAAATTCACTTCCCACTGTTCACTTGGAAAACCATAAAGGCAAAGGTTTTCCTTCTCTGCAGGGTTGTCAGAAAATTCACACACATTAGAAATAATTCTCCAAACAATACTGTGTATATTTCAACCCGTATCTCTCTCTCAGTTTCAAGAAGCACTAAAGTGATGAACTATGTCAGCCACTGACAGCTCTCAAAAACAGAAAAAGGTTGTAATTTTCAAACTATAAGGAAAACATTGTTTACTCAATGGCCCAAAAAAACACAAAGAAACGGAATAAAGAAAATTTGCTTCATAGGCATACAAAGAAGCATAAATACTCACTGTTGAAGATATATAACAAAGGGAGGAAATGTATGCATTTGAGCCTTACCATGATAAGCATAAAATGAAAAGCAATGATGTAAATTATAATTATGAACTCTATTCTTAAAGCCCTCAATGATACCAAGTTTGCAGCTATGATAGGAAACCGGTGAATTGAAACAATACACAGAGAGACAATCGTTACCACTAACGTGAAGCAAGTTTGGAAGATCAAGAACAATGGTTTCATATGTAGATTAGGCAACTCCAAGTGAAAATGATACTGAATGCAATGCTTCATTTCATGGATGCACATCTAACTAAACTCACTTGTAACCTTTTCTATCACTTCACTGGTTCCATCCAATGGAATGGTCTCATCCCAAAAAAGAAAGGAACCAATGTGACATAGTAAAAGAATGAAAAATGAACTAAACCAAAACAAAAGGAAATCTTGTTGAACTACAAACAGGTTGACAAATGGGGATAAAATCACAAATGAATGCATCTAGCTAGGTTATGTCTCTCCACCCAAGAAATGAAAAATAAATCCTCTCTAGACTTTAAGAACCTGATTCTCAACTATGTTGCATAAAAGTTATATACTCCATTTTAAAGTCTGCAGCCAATGGCAGTGCTATACAAATTTAATCCATAAAGATAGCCTATTGCAGGCAAATGTAATTAATTAAAAAAAGGCACATAGCTATGAACACATAAACAACACTGTTTATTCTAATACCAAAAAAATTCATTTTTATCAAATTAACCAAAAAAATCACAAACTGTTACAGCTCAAACATAACAGCACATTCACAACCAAAACATCGAAACAACTGTTTACCCACAAGTGACAACCATCCATCTCATTTTACCTCATATTAATAAGTTGTGCTCCAGTAAAAACATGTGCTTGAATTCTATGTATGCATTAAAGATGTTCAGAGACAGTTTTGCACTTCCAGGTAAAACTCATCCCTCTTAACATAGCAGGTGTCGCCCAAAGGCTTTCATAAAATATTAAACAAACTAAATCACACATTAAAGCCCATAAACAAAAAAAATGTCCAATAGACAGCTATATCCAAGTTTATTCCCGAATTTCTATACTAGGTCAAACAATTACCCAACTGCATATCATCACTTCTAATAAACCAAACTTATAAGAAATGGATAAAGCATATCCAAAGATTATGCATTTCCAGAAACGCACAAAAACATTTACCACCACACATTTAAGAACAAACAAGTTAGCCAATTGCAAGAGCATACCTCTCTGAGAAGTCAACCCAGGTTATCGAAAACACACAGAGTCACAAATTCACAAGTGAATACAAACCCAAACCTAAAAGCATTAATGCAAACAAAAACAATAAGGAAGATCCATCGCTCAGTAACTCACCCGGGTCACACTGATGATAAAATTCCTCCACATCTGCAACAAGAAAATGGTCAAAATTAGGCAATGAATCATAAAAAACGAGAGATTCAAAAACCCCCCCACATATAAATCTCAGAAGAAAATCACTAGTGATGCGGAGTGAGCGAAATTATACCGCTAGGTGAATGAGCTAAAAATACACCCAGAGGTGAAAGCGAAGAAATTTATGTATACAAATCCCAAAATACCAGTAGTGAGGGCTTTGATCATTCCGGCGCGGCGGCCCTTGTAATCCTTGAAAACCTCCTCTACAGTTCGAGGATTATACTGTCCGGCTCCGTCCATCGCCCTGCAAGCTCTCAACTCCGAAGAGAGCAGTGATGGAGAAACGGAAACTGTAACAATGGAGGAAAAAAACGAGAGCTTTCTCTTCACGAAAGGAATGTGTGAATTTTTTTTTATGAAATGTGAATTTATAAATAATAAATGGAGTATATAAGTAGTAAAAATATTATATCGGCAGTACCGAAATTGGAAGACGGGTGGGAGGTATGTATGATCAAGCGGAAGTGAAGGTAGAAGAAGACGGCTTAGGGACTAGGGATATTTCACTATAGAAAAACTAAATACGGAGTAAATCATGGTATGTACTACTATTTGATGCTTCGGATAATTTTACATTAGCATTTGACACCAAAACATAAAATAAAGGCGCATATATGTGGTGTACAATTTGGGATAGAAGTATCTTATTTGAAAACTAAAAAGAAAACTGAGTTTCCAACAAGGGAAGGGTACATGTGACATTGAACCATAATGTCATACTATGACCTGATTCTAATTGGGTACCTACCATGTTTTGCTAAAAAAATTAACGGTTCTCACCCCTCTGAATCCCTCGATAAACCCCCCACTCGACTCCTAATGGTTCAGAGTATGAACTGTCTCGAATTGAGCATTGTAAGCTCCCCGGGTCATCCCAAACAATTGTAAATTATTTTTACACTAATAGGAAACACAAATATTTTATATTTGTTGGACATAAATATTACTCCCTCCGTCCGGATTTCAAATTCTCAGTTTGACTAAGGCTATAAAATGACAAGAATGCCCTTACTAAAAAAAGAAGGAAAAATACACCACATGCAGCATAAAGAAGTGAACAATACGGAGTACTATTACTGGTTCCAAAAAGTAGGCAAGTATGGGTTTTGATTACATCATATCATCATTACATTACCAAATCATCCAAAAAAAACATTCCAATTCCCTCCTATTTTTACAAAACTACCCGCCCAAACATTCCCAAAAATTTTAAAACAACCTTTCCTCTTGCAGTCCTATAAAAGCTCCCTCCCATTTCCTTATTTAGCATGTTTTTTCTTGAATATGTGCTCTTCATTTTCTTCGGGGTGCTGTCCTTGCACTCTCTTCGGGCCGCGCTTCATTTCCTCCGGGCTACTGTCCCTGCACGTCAATTCGGGCTGCTATCCGTGCACGTTTCTTCGGGCTGCGGTCCTTGAACTCCCTTCGGGCTGCTCTTCATTTTCTTTGGGGTGCTATCCTTGCACGTTTCTTCGGGCTGCGGTCCTTGAACTCTCTTCGGGCTGCTGTCTTTGCACGTTTCTTCGGGCTGCGGTCCTTGAACTCTCTTCGGGCTGCTGTCTTTGCACGTTTATTCTCATACATTCATCACAGTAAATGGTCACATAAGGTCTTACAAAGAACATAGGGACAAAAACCGTAGTGTACAGAAACCACAGATAAGTTTTTGGCAGAGTAAGACCACATAGAAGGTGTAAAACCCTTAGTACTCAGAGACATCCTTAAATGGATACATTCTCATCACAGTAGGCATCATTTTTTTGGACATTCATCACAGAAAGTGGTCACAAACAGTCTTGAAAACATTAGAGGGACAGATAACATAGTGTACAGATAGGACACCCAGAGGCAGAGTAAGACCACATACAAGGTGTAAAACTTTCACTACTCAGAGACATCCTTAAATGGATACATTCTCATCACAGTAGGCATCATTGTTCTCAGACATTCATCACAAAAAGTGGTCACAAACAGTCTTGCAAACATTAGAGGGACAGATAACATAGTGTACACTTTGGACAATCAAAGGCAGAGTAAGACCACATAGGAGGAGTAATACCATCACTATCCAGAGACATCCTTAAATGGATACATTCTCATCACAGTAGGCATATTGTTCTCAGACATTCATCACACAAAGTGGTCACAAACAGTCTTGCAAACATTAGAGGGACAGATAACATAGTGTACACTTTGGACAATCAAAGGCAGAGTAAGACCACATAAGAGGAGTAATACCATCACTACCCAGAGACATCCTTAAATGGATACATTTTCATCACAGTAGGCATATTGTTCTCAGACATTCATCACACAAAGTGGTCACAAAGAGTCTTGCAAACACGAGAGGAACAGATAACATAGTGTTAATTAAGGACCCTTTTAAACGAAAGCCACATGTAGAATAAAGAAATGAACAATATGGAGTCCTGTTACTGTTTCCAAAACAAGGGAAGAGCAGGGACAGTAATTGAACCATCCAAACTCACATAATCCATAATTATTCCAGTAATGTAGAAATAATTGAAGTATAAGAAGGTTAAACGAACTTCCCTACTTGTACTTTGAAGCCCAAAAGTCTGGATCTGGGCTTGGAAGTAAGATGTTTAGCATATCAATGTGGAGGTGCATGCGTGAGTACATGGGTTGAGAAGAATCAAACCCAGCTCTCTCAAACTCTTCCATCTTGTTACCCTCCTGCCTCCCATCAACAAAAAAACAATCTTCTTGAGATACAATGTTGATAAAACACTGCATTTCTCTGATCGGGGCAGGATCGGCACCATCATCTTCACTATCGATGACGATGACCTCGTCATCGCTATGGATTATGATAACCTCCTCCACCTTGCTGTCATCAGAGATTAAATCTTCGACCTCACCCCAACCATCTTGAAATTCCGTCTCCGGAATGATAGAATCCAAGAAATAGTCATGCGGATCCATTAGATGTGGGCAGAGATCTAGGGTTCTAGGAGAAAAGGGAGAAAGAATTGGGCGGATTGGATATGGGAAGGAGAAGAGGTGCGAAAAGAAGGACATGAGGGTGTAATGAATGCGGGTAGGTGGATTGGGCGAGAAGGGTGAATTAATGTGAGGGGTAGTCTAGGAAAAGTGGGTTAGAAAGCGTATAGTGGGAACTTGAAATTCGGACGGAGAAAAGCGTAGAGTGGGAACTTGAAATCCGAACGGAGGGAGTATGTTTGTATTTGCCTTCAGTATACAAATTTTATACTCTATAAATTTAGTGTACCTTTAACATTCCTCAAACTAAAATACCCCCACCTCATGTTTTATGTAGCACTCTCTTGCCCCGAGAGCACACCTTAACTAGTAAAGGTAATTGATGAGTTATGATGGAAAGTTATAAGGCGGGGATTCGAATTAGAGAGGTCTTTTTAGATCCATTCTCTTGTAGGCAAGATTAGATCAATCGTAAAAAAAATTCTCTTATCTCTGGTCAGGCATATCTCACAATTTGCCTCATCCACCAACCCCAGGATGGGCGTGGACTGTGGAGACCCTTGTGGTGGGTGTTTCATCTATATTTTATCTAGCTGTTCTAGCATTCTATACAGTTATATGTATCTCAGTTGGTCGAAAAGATACTGTCACAAAAATTAATCTGGGTTCGAATCTTAGCAATTTCATAAAAGGGCGAGTAGCACTAATCACTTGTAATTTTCACGGAGTTTGAAATAACATTAAAAAGTAAGGAAACATATTCCCCCCATCCCAACATAGATCAGTTTCTTAAGATTTGAAAAAATAAGTTTGATGTTGGAAGAAGCTGAACAGAATCTGGAAGGATTTCAAAAATTTATTTAAGTGTATTTTTCATTATATTCTTATTTTAAATGTTATTATTATTGTTGTTATTGTACATGAAAAATACATCATTTTTTATGTCATTGTTTGGAGAGGAGAAGAATATTAAAATGGAAATAATTGGAAAAAACAAGAAGAAATTTAAAAAATAGAGAGAAACTGAAAAAACTTGAAAGGACTGAAATATATGAATGAACTATAAAAACTGGAAGCAACTGAAAAAATTAGAAGAAACTAGAAGTTAAAAATTTAAACTCTAAAAACATGTACTTAATTGTCTTATTTTACTCTTCATTGGATAATTGTTTTTCTTCTTTTTGTTAATCATTTGTTGAAAATACTTGAAATAATATAGAATATTTGAAATATATACTCTGTAAATTTATTTTGAAATTTTGAAATGTTATTTAAATAAATTGAATTTAAAATAAATATAATCATGTCTCATTATCCTTAATAGAATAATAAGTTTGGGAAGAAGAAAATTAATGATTAAAATTTATTTAAATAAGAAGGAAATCTCATGAGAAACATGCTCATTATTTTAAAAGAAATGAAATAAGTGGAAAGTGTTTCTTGCACAACAGTAATTCGTAAAAAAAGCGCAAAGGTAAAAACGGAGTCGCACTAGGAATAATGTAGCATAAGTGCATAACCCACTTCATAAGAGAAAACTATTGTTGTGTTTGTTACACAACAGTAATTCGTTGGGAGAGCGCATCTTTCTAAAACGCATATGACCCATCCTCTTCTTCAAACCACCGAGGATTTCGAGCTATATAACACAGTTGATACATTTTACGGGGATGTTTAAAAGTCATGGATAAATATAGGATTTTTAAAATTTATTTATCTATTAAGAAAGAAGTCTTACTATCAAAATTATGGTCGTTCAATTGGAGAGTAACAATGTAAAATGTATGATTTTTTTGTAGGAGTAACTCTTAAATCTAAAAATAAAACCACAATATTCTAATAGCATTGGTGCAAAATTGTCTTATTATAAGGTCTATATTCCAAATATGAAACACCAATGTATAGATCTTCAATTAGTACTCAAATATGTATATCTAACACGGACTATTAATTTTTACAATTGATCAAATGAGAAAGCGTGGCCCATTATTTGTCAGGCTTCTTCTATTCATTTCACGGCCCATTAATAAACTTCCAATGTGAAATCATATCTATTAACTTATGTTTTTGGGTTGGAAAGTGGATCCCAGCTTTACTGGCACTTTGTCTTTTGTTTTCGTCACATTGGAATTTTTAACACGGCATCGGAGCAGATCCCATCCGGTCCGAGTTTGATTTTTCCTGGTTGTTTGGACGTAGATTTAGCGGTACGAGTTTTCGATAACTATGGTTGATTAACTAATGAATTATCACCATAAAATGTAAGTAGTGGGAAAAAACAAAGCATGGGGCTTCCGCCCGTGAGGCGCAACGTAGCTCAACGATTGGCATAGGAGTGCTATAGGAGAGGGATCCCGAATGAGAAACAATCATGCAAAGTATGAGACTTAGCCTCTGCAAGTTCCAGACACGAAACTCCGCTCTTATGTCAACTGATTGGTGCTGGGGGCATTCGAGGATGGGGTATCATCCTTTTTGGAGGAAAAAAAAAACAAAGAGCAAGTTGGAAATGGTACGGTACGGAC